TTTTTTTTCATTTTGCTTATGTGGTGCTGAGGAATTGAACCCAGGGCCTCAGGCATGCAAGGCAAGCGCTCTACCACTGAGCCACCTTCCCAGCCCCAGTCACTAGCATTTCACCATTGAGCTATCATAAAACTGATGAGAATACAATTTTTAGTTCCCCACCCAAAGAATGAGAATAGAAAAGAAAGAAAAAGGCAAATAGAAAATATTTTTTCAAATTATCTTTAAGTAGTTGTGCAAAGGAGATTCAGTTCAACCTATCAATCTATGTGTCCAAAGCAAAATTCATTTTTTTAAAAAGATTGACAGGAAGAGATTAGAAAATTATTTCTTGTGCTTTTTGGTTGATTCATATGGGCACTAAAGCCTGTGCTGAGAATGTGTTCTTTGCTGGGAACTCTGCACACAGACCCAGCGTGGCTTAGAACATGTCACAGATTGTTGGTTATATTCTAACCCAACACATTTTCCTCAACTTTAGTTTCAGATACTAAAGACAGCCTGTACTATGATATGCTCACAGACGAAGAAAAAGAACAAATTTTATCAGATGGTAAGTCAACGGAGCCCAAATGGAGCTCTCTGTAGTACTTACAGTCATGGAGCACGTGGTCCAGCTTTAGAGGTAATGCTGATTCTGTGATCAGAAGAACTTAGCTTGCAGTCAAAGTAAATGTTTCTGTAAGTACTTTAGAAAGGGAATAAAAATGCCCCGCCTTTTTGTATAAGCAACTGAAAAATTGTCCCATGTCATACTCGCTCAAACTGTCCCCAAACACTACTTCTCAGCCCTGGCCCTTTGTGTTTATGCTTTCCAACTCTTCCTTTTCCATAAGTAGAAAAGGGCTTCAGAAAGCCCAAAATATCCAATAGAGTAAGACAAAATTCTCCTCAGAAGACAGGTGAGAAGACTAAACTTTAGGGGGAATCTTCCTCCTCTTCCTCCTCTTCCTCCTCTTCTTCCTCCTACTTCTTCCTCCTCCTTATTCCTTCTTTTCCCTCTCTCATACATACATATACATACATATATATGTTATTATATATTGTTACATATGCTATTATGTGTTACTATATATAGTAAATACTATAAAATAATATATAATAAATTCTTAAAGGTATTCTTGTAGAGCTTTGAATATTTTCTAAGTCTACCTATATAAAATACAAGTAAATATAATAATTTTCTCTGTTTCCAATTCACCCACACTTCTTTACCTGATTCTCTGAATAAAAGAAAACTGTCAGATGGGTGAGAATGTGAAGGGTTGATATTGATCAAGACACACTATAGAGGGAAGGGATAGTAGGAGAAAAACAAAGGAAGGGGTAGCAATGCTTGACAAGAAATGTAACTGTAACCTCTCTGTACAGCATCTTTACAATAAAATTTTTAAAAGGACACATTATATTTATAAACTGCTTTGTTGAATGGCAACTCCTTTGTAAAACTACTTAAAGGTAGTAATGAAAAGGAGAGAGAGAGCGGAAGGCAGGAAAAAGAAGGAAGGAAGGAAGGAAGGAAGGAAGGAAGGAAGGAAGGAAGGAAGGAAGGAGAAGACAGAAAAAGTCAAGCACTGACAAGTTCCCCAGTGATTTACATTATAACACCAGAACTCCATGGGTGGTGGGGGATGATAAAAAATTGCTCTACTATTGTTTGGGCATCTGTTTACCTTCATGAGGCCAAGGACCAGCCAATATCTTAGACTGCAGCTCTCTGAGAAATGTGCCCTAATATCCTGCAGTTCCTAACAGAGCAAGACACTGAGAAAAACTTCAGAGTGGAAAGAACAAGATAGGAGAAAATGAGAATATCTGGAAAAGTCAATGTGCTTTAAATATTTAAAACTATTTTTAAGTTTCTACTTCTGCAATGGATCAGCAATTTGAGATCTGAGTCATCCCACTACCTCAACCAATTCATCAGTTCAGGGACTCATAAATGGTACATGGAAGACAGAATGTTTTTGTTTTCTATAAATGAACTGGGTAGTAGAAACATCAGCTTCCCTTCTACTAAAATTCCCTTCAAACCTTCCTCTGCATACCTCAGGTATTCAACCTGGCTTGTCCACTCTCTGGGAACTCAGCTTCCCACTTCTATAACTAAGACTGTAACAGTAGGAATCTAATCCAGATATCACACAAACATATATGTGAGTCCAGATTAGCAAGGTATTCAACTGAGTTGTCCTAATATTTTTATAAAAATAAGGCCACTATAGATTGCTTTGTGGCTGACCAATCAGGACAGTCACTCATGCCTCTACATTTTTATTTAAATGTCCAATAAAAGGTCTAATGCAGCTTCCATTCTGAGAATGTACAATCTGATAACTTTGGAATAGACCTAACTATAAGACACTAGAATTTGTGCATTGAATTGATAGCTGTATACATCACTCAGAAGGAAAAGCAAAAGAGTACAAAGAGTGAGCACTGAAAAAGCATAATGTCAAGAAAGAAGCCAGAATTAGTTTTTCCAGATGAAAATATATAATGATAGTAATATTGTTTTATTTCCCCCATAGCATCTACCTCACAATATGCTCCCCAACCATTGAGCCAGACTGAATGTAAGAGTCCAGTAGACAGAAGGAAGAGGGGCAAAAGAATACTAATAAAATAGAACCTACTAATGTATTTTTAAATAGTTACCTTGTTGTCATTTTCTTCCTTTTACAGACTCTGATGGCAAAACTGACGAATACCAACAGCTCTAATTGGACCAAATATATTAATATGGAACTGTCATAAAGACCTGTGTGTGTATTTAGGGAAGAATGATTTGGAAGAATTTGTTTAGTCTTAAGTAGCATTATGCAAGGCATAACAGCGCAATATATGTTCTCTGTAGTCACTGTGATGTATGTTTATGATTGCATTTCCTCAGAAATGGTTTGATGCTGATTTCTTCTTTTGAAATTGTATTAAAGATAGTGTTGTCAGTCATTGTGTCCACCTGTATATCCTTACAAGAAAACATACTTCCTTCTATCTGTCATTGGGCCACATTAGTTCATATGGCCTTGACTTTGACTTTAACTGATTAAGCCAGAATCAATGACTCCACAAATACCCCAAGACTTCGGCTGAGACAAGTCCAGTTAATGGTAGTGAACTAGAGAAGACCACTAAAACCTGCCCTTGTCTTCAGGGCTAGGCAAGTTCCTCTGCCTTGGATTTGTTCAGTTTCACATAGTTGTCACTGTAACACATTTAGTTTTAACTGAATAGATCTCTAGTCCTTGACATAGATAGGGTCTGAATAAACTGAAATTTGAAGGGAAAGTGTATTTTTTACCTTGAAATTAGATAGTTTAAGTAAAACTTAGTCTTAAAGCCATAGTAGTCAAACCAATGTGCATTCTCAAACTTAATAGGACCTGAACAAATGCCACTTAGGAACTTTTGAAAACCCAGGAGTCTTGTTAAAAACTGCAGCTATCTCTGCCTTCTCTGTATTTCTTAATAGCTCTCAAGGTACCCATTGCTAGCTGAGATTCAAGAGAGTTTCAGGTGCTTTTGCCTTGCTTTCGGCCCATCACAATGAAATGGATAGTTTCAAAACCATGACTGACTTTTGCTTATTTCCGAAGTCATCACTCTATTTGATGTTGCTGTGAAGAAAGCTTACTGTCTGTTTTAGGATGTAAGCCTGAACCCCAGTCCTACCACTTCTCCTGTCCCACCCCTGGACTCTTGCGTTTTCACCTGGTTGGTACCCTCAGACCACAAGCTTCTAGCTCTGTCACCTGAGTAGCTTCAGATTGCAGGCGTGTGCCCCCATGCCTGGCATGGAAATAAGTTTAACGGGAACTTATGAGAAATAAATAATCAAAATTGTAAAGGCTGACATGGCATGGCATCAGGGAGAGATATTCAATAGAAAACATTAGAGCATGGCTTGGGTACAGGCATTTATGTGGCTAAATAATTGGTTCACTAGTCACTAAAGTATCAGTTTCATGGTTATAAATCCTGGAACTTTAGCAGGCACTGTGAGGAGCTCTCCCTTCAGGTTTGTCCCCATTTTCTTGACAAATAGAACCTTAGTTTTGTTGCAATAGCCAAGAAAGCCAGCACTATGCAATGGATATTGATATATCTAATCTAGTGTTGCTGATCAGTGATAGGCCTAGAGACAGGCATGTAATCCAGTCTTGAAGAATACTATATAAAGACAATTCTTCTGATGTGTGTGGGGGCAGAGATAGAGCGGGGGAAGACGTTATATAAGGACAAAGCATGTGGGCTCCTTCTACTTCTGTCATACCAAGATATAATGTTTGCTGGCAGCCATTTTGCCACAACAAGAATAGACATTATTATTGTAGTAAGATGGTGATGGAGAAAAATAGACAAAAGGAAAAAAAAAACTAGTTCCTGGGCCTAAGGCCTTGATGATTTCAAAAAGAATCTAAACTAAGCCAGGACCAATTTCAATATTTTAGTCAAACAACAACTGTATGTTTTCAGCCTCAGTTAGTTGTGGCTCCTGTTACCTGTGGCCAATGTCTGTACTCTTACACATGTATATGGTATTATACACCACAGTCCCCAGGTACATAATTCATAGAGAAACATTTTCAACTCTTTGTTTTTGGAGAATTCATAAATATTCTGGAATTGTTTAAGCAACTTTTCAACACAAATGGGCTCCAAACCTTGATTGATTTACATTTTCAATATTCCCTCCAGTTCTAGCCAGTAAGTACCATGAGCCTACATCATTTGTAGGCTAGTGGTTTTAGTATTAGCATGAATTAGAACCACCTCTTCAGACAGATAGCTGAGTTTGTGATAGCCAGTAGTTTTAGGTAGGGTCTGAAAATCTGCATGTTTACCCTGTTGCCAAGCAATACTAATACTGCTGATCTCAGGACCACACTTAGATAATCACTATCCTGAGCTATGATTAGTTGCCTCCCAAGGCAGACACAGACTTAAATTCACACTCTCCACATGCTTATCCCAGACCCTTAAAAGTAGGTCTTTCTTTCTGATCAAAAGATTGTTCTTCAAACTTAGGAATGGTTTCAGGATTTTGTAACGCCATTACCATCCCCTTTTAAGACTAGTCCACCCTCATTCTTATAATCCTCAGACTAGCTGCTTCCTGCCTTGGCACATACTGCTTCCACTTTCTGGAGTACCACACACTTTATTGTACTCCAAGTTTCTTCAGGTCTAACACAATGGAGTCATCTTTTCTCTTTTGGTCAAATTATTATGCCTTGCTTTTCATTTCATGGAGATGAGAATTATGTGACTCTGAAAGACAGAAGGTAAATAAAGAGTTCTCTCCTTCTGCCTGCTGCCTGCAGGTACAAATGTGAAATTATGCTGCCTGTAACCTCCATTTCTGCATTTGCTGGCCTTAAAATGAGCTTTCGCTCTGAACTGGTCCTGACCCAGAACTGAATGCTTTCTCCATCTGCAGAGGACGTAGGAAGGTTACCCAAGCTTGCAGCTGAGCTCTGGAAGCAAACTGGTAACCCAACCGTGAGCAGCTGCTCTGTCCTTCTCATTAATTTTTTTTTCTGGGCAGAAATTAGGAGCTCACAGAGATATCTAATCACAGGGCCCTCTATTCACTAGTATGAAGAGCATGGGTTTTTATACAAAGGGTCTATAAGCACACAGTCTCCTCACTTCTTGCAGGCATGCTGCCTATGTCTGGGAAAGAGGCCACAAATTCTACTGTGTCTTGTTCAAGAACAACATGTGAAGGTCACACTCATATGATGTCATCAAATCAACTTTTCATCCACTCTCAAAATTACCTGTATGTTTGCATAATCTTCCAATAAACATTGTCTTTCTTTGGTTTGAATGTGGTTTGTTCCCCTGCTCTCACCCCCCACCTTCGCCCCCGCCGTCAATCCCCAAAAGCTTTATATGTTGGAAGCTTAGTTCCTAATAAGGCATCATTAAGAAGTGAGAACTTTAAGAAGTGTAGTCTGGCTGGGTCTGAGTAGCTCAAATCTGTAATCCCAGCTACTTGGGAGATCTGGAGGATTGCAAGGTGTGGTAGTGCACACCTATCATCCCAGATACACGAGATATATAAGTAGAAGGACTGTGGTCCAGGGTAACCCTATCTGAGAAACAACTAACACAAAAAGGGCTGGGATCATGACTCAAGTGGTTGAGTATGTGCCAGAAATGATAGACATTTACTGCACACAGTTCTGGAGACTTAGGAAGTTCAAGACCAAGGCTCCATCAAAGTCAGTGACTTGTGAGAACTCGGTTCTCAGTTCATAGGTAGCACTGTCTTTCTATGCTCTTACATTATAATGGGTATGGCAGCTCTCTGAGGACCTTTTCACGAAGGGCACTAATACCTCCCAAAGGCCTCACCTTCTGAAACTTTCAGACAGGCAATTAGGTTTCAACGTGTGAGGCTTGTGGTGACACAAATACTCAAGACTGTACTGATAGAGTTGATGTTTCCTTGTCTCCAACACAGATCCTACAATTGCTTTCCATCCTACCTCATCCCCACAAAGTATACCAGCCTCCTTTTCTGGTTCCTTCTCTTATATCCTCATAAATGCTGGAGTACTTCAATGATCTTGTCTTTAATTTTTCTTACTTTTTACATTCATCACTTAACGACACCATCTGGTCCCATGGCTTTACATAACATCTATATGCAGACCATTTCCAATTTTTCATCTCCAGCTCAGTGATCGCTTCCAACTTGAGACTCCTCTATTCTACTTGAGAATTTCATTTAAATGACTAGAAAACAACTGAACATATATCAAAATTATCTCTTAATTCTTATCTTCTATTCGCTCAACTCAAAATCCTTGGCTTTTCTCTCACTTTCTTAAATCCGCTTGAGGGAAATTCTGTTGTCTTTACCTTCTAATACTATTCTATATTTAGTAGAAGCCATTCTCTACCATAATCACCTTGGCCAAACATCTACTTTCTCTCTTCTGGGTTACTGCATGGCCTACTGACTAGTCAGTATTTTTTGATTGCTTAGAGAACATTCTTATAGTAACCAAAATAAAAACCTTATTTCCAAATGTTAATCAGATTACATCTCAGCTAAGAATCCTTACAGATACACTCCACTTACTTCACAGTAAAAGCCCAAGTCTTTAAAAGCCCTATATGAGCTACTTCAGCCTCCATCTTTTTATCCCTTTATTCTTCCTTTGGTCACAATCTCCCAAGCTAATCCACTCTGTTCTAATGGCCTACATCTGTATTTCAAGTCTTCACTCACATTTCACTTCTTACTGGAACATGCAGGTAGTTAATGTGCAATCTCAGCCCACAATTATGTCAAGCCCTCTTGTTGCTTGTTTATATATTTATTGGATATTATCAATGTCCCATACCAGGATGAAAGCTTCATAGTATAATGGATATTTATCTTTTTGGTGTTTTCTAATACCTTAAAATAATGTGTGCTATACAAATGTTATCAATACATATTGTTTATCCCTCTTTTCTAAATTGTAATAAGGTTCATATTATTTTAAAATATGAGACAAAAATAAAACCAGTAAGTACTCATGAAAGTGAGTGTGTTATTTCTCATAGTTATTGCACATGAGTAAAATACATAACCAAAGTCGTCTTTATCTGCAGAATTGGAAGCATAAAAGTTTAATTATTGAAAGTGTAGTTTGGCAGCACCATTAATGTTCTTCATTTAACAATCAACAAGCCCAATGACAGAACAAAAACTGCCAACTTGCCAGGTGCCAGTGGCTCACAACTGTAATCCTAGCCACTCAGGAGGCTGAGATCTGATGATCACAGCTAGAAGCCAATCTGGGCAGAAAAGTCCCTGTGAAACTCTTATCTCCAATTAACAACTCACAGGAAGTGGCACTGTAGCTCAGGTGGTAGAGCGCTAGCCT